CGGTCCTAGCAGCTCTGCTTTGCCAGCTCCAGCAGCAGAGCCTCCAGCGGAGTCTGTGACTTCGCAAGAGGCTCTGCAGCCAAGCCTCCCAATGACAGGGCCATCAGACATGGGGGAGGATAAAGGGACCATGCCTACCTTCAGTCAGCATAGAGCAGAAATGGCGGGCCTCCGGCACTCAAGGAGGCTTTATGAAAAACAACGAGATCATCAAGGTGATCAGCCCCAGCTGAGCTCTGGCAGCATGGGATTTAAGCACGTAGGGAAGCCCTGTCTCAGTGTCAGAGGTTATTTGAGCTTCCTGGTGAAAGCCTCTTTCTCTGACTCTCCTTGTTCCTTGCCTTGAACCCTCGACTCCTGACTATCTTGGACTCCCTGTATCCTTGACCTTCAGACTATTGACTACTCTTGGACCTCTGAATCCCTGGACCTTGGACTGCCTGACTTCTTGGCTTCCCTGCAACCCTCAACCTATAGACTGTGTTTGACTCTTCGCTTGCTGCTCTCTCAGATTGGTAACTAGGACTTTGTTTGGGACTTTCCCTCATTTTGGCTATCAGCCCTGCTGCCTGTTTTCCAGGACACTGTGGCTGTTTTCCACACAGTCTGAAGGTGGCATCCTATATGTCTGCATTTAATCACAGAAATAAGACTGCAGGACCAGCAGGTGATTATCTATAGGATATCTATGGTACAGGCCACCAGCACATCACATCTCTGCAAACTTTGCTGGGGCCATACCAGGATTGCTAAGGAAACAATACTTGTTCACTACTCCACTGATTAAACAGGGAACAGCTATGAGGAAAAAGAAAGCTCCTGCTACTGCTCATTACATCCCTACCCCACACTTAACCCCAAAGTAATGTATCTTTCAGTTTCACAATTTTTCTTTTGCTGGTTAAGTAATTCACTTCAAGTAGTTCATTTCTATTGCTGATTTAGTAGTTCAAGATTGAAGTGATCATCCACCAAACAAAGAGTGATGATCCTTACTAGCAAAAAGGATATCGCTAAATGCAGTGATTTATGATGGAGCTCAGTGTTTTCTGTCTTGAAACTTCACCAAGGCCTCTAGCAGCAGAGAAAGTATGACTTGTCTTCCAATTCCATTCTAAACCTATTGAATCTGAACACAAGCCTCCCTCAGATTTCTCTTAAATGTTGGCAGGGAAAAAGTTCCTCACTTACCATGTTTAAATTGGGGAGGTTATATCCTGATAGAAAAAATAAAATGTTGGCACAAAATTGAGGGTGATGATTACATAATGTAGTGAATGGCTTTCTTAGATATGTAGGGTACTGAAACAATCCTTTGTTCCCGAATATGATCTGAAATACATGGTATTTGAAATTAGCTACTACAGAATAAGAACATGAATGTCTACAAGTCCTGTTGTCACTGAATTTCTCAATGTCCTACCAGCTTGCTTACTCCATTCTATTTCTGTACATGGTCATGAGAAATATTCTATCCCTCAACATGTGCAGATTGATGGCAATGCATAATTTTTCCTAATTTTTCCAATATATATACATTTTATATGCATTTTTCTAATATAAATTTTAGCAGAATTTTACTTTGGCCAGAGAATATCAGTATGCATTTGTCAAAACACAACCATCTTGCTTAAAAAAAACAAAAAAACACACACACACCTATTGTTAACTGGAGTGTTTTTTGCATCAAATTTTTTTTTTTAAATGACCCCTTCCCCAGTCTTTCTTACCAAACAAGTGACTATCTGGAAACAATGTTTTGGTCATGATTTTTTTTTCATAAACTGCTACAATTTTGGTACAAAATGTGCCCCCCCTGCACAGAATAATTTCCTGAAACTTTGAGATCTGTGAATTCTGGGTGACAAGTATACAGAAATATGAGGGAAGCATATATCCATATACCATATATATAATCTCCATATACTTTTAATTATATGGTATATAATATATATATCTCCATATACTTAATTATATGGTATATAAGCTATATATATCTCCATATACTTTTAATTATAAGGTATATAAGCTGTTTTGAGCTTGCTACAAGAAAAAGTGGGATCAATGTTTAAACAAATAGTGTGCATGGCTATTGGATGTAGCAATCATAGAAGGAAAGCCCAGAAAGACTTACACGAAACATTGTTTCAGAAAGCTGTGCCAGTTTTGTGAAGGGAGTTATAGCAAATGTTACTGTGGTTACCGGTGCCAAGGCAAAGAAAACTTTGATTCTTTCAGTCAATTTTGGCCAAGTAGAGAATGCTACGAAACCTGAGAAAGTAAAAGACATCCTAAGCAAAAACAAAACAAAACAAAACAAAAACCCTGACAGTTTTTCAAAGTAGTATATTGGAAGTCTCCCACTAACTAGCATGTGAGATGTACAGAGAAATGTTAGGGCACTAATGTTAATAGAAAACGAGAAATGACATTACATCACTTCCAGTTCCTATTTTTGGTGCTATGCCCTTTTGGTGGATGGGCTAGGGAAGATCATGTTTGGGAATTATCTTAAGGTTTATAGAGGGACGTCCAGGCAAAAAGCAGATTTTAAAGTAAAGATGCTATTGCTCCCCAACTTTTCCCCAGTCTGAGACACAAGGCAACCTACAAAGGTGAAAAAAGAAACAGCTAAAAAATTCACATCATACCAATGAAAATACAGACGCTTCATTGGGGGTTGTGGGGACTTCTGACCACAGTGACATCCCTGGGAGGTATACACTTGGGGGGGGCACAGCAGAACAGCCGTGGGACTACCCTGGGGCAGTGGTGGTACACCTGGTGGGTGAGTGAGAATGGGCACTGGGTCCTTTTCTTGCTTACTCAACAGCTGTGCCAGACCTGAAATGGGCTCTCTGGAGGCCATAGCACTCCTGCACCTCAAGCAGTGGCCAT